TTTTTTTTTTTTTTTTTTTTTTTTTTTTTTTTTTTTTGTGGCAAACTTTGTCGAACAAAACTTTCAAATAAAATCTTCTGCTCGACAAGGAGTATCGATAGGAATCTTAATGTCGCAAAATTCAGTATTCGTCGTACAGAAGGTCTGCGAATATCGTGGAAAATTGCTTTGAAAAATTCCCTCTTTCTCTCCCCTCCCCCCCTCCGTCCCTCTGGACGCTCGACGTCTCGCATCCCGTTTGCGCAACAGTGAAAAACAAGTTAAATAGAAAGTTAAATCTCTCGATTACATCCTCGAACATTTGCGAAGCTACTTAACGCGCGCGCGTGTTCGTAAAATTACGCTTCACGAGCGAGACGAAAAAGTATTTGCCGATTTTCAAATAGGCTTTCACGGTAATGTTGCGCGTTACGTAACAACTCGGCGAGTGTCTCGTGCCACTGGAGATACCTCGGTATACACGTTGTATGCCCACGTAGATACGTTTGCGAGCGTGACAGCTTTCTCCATATGGAATCACGCTAAATTCCATTCTTGTGCTTGCGCCTCGGGGGCTCAACCTTTGAAATTTCCTCGCGGAAGCCAATCTTCGATACTCACTTCCACCGGTCGCGCTTTTCTTTTTTTTTCCCTCCCTAAATTTCCTTGATCAAGTCTCAAGTACAGTAACTTGCCTGAGAAAAAAGACGACGCATGTCGAGACGAGAAATTTTTTTATAGACTCTTGTTTGACGAAGGATAGATAATAAAGTCGATCGATGAAAACATGGAGCTCAGAAATGAACATAATTTGCTCAGACGTGTTTATTCGGACGTATGGATCGGTCGATCGATCGATCGATCGTTCACGCGAGAGACGGGATATATATATATATGTACACATATATCGTTCCTTTCGATCGCGTTGGCAAATGTCGCAGTAAAACTGTTCGAAACCGACGTCGACTTTCTATCGGACGGAAACACATAGGTCGAAGCGCGTACAATAGAAAAAGTTTGCAAATATTTCGCACGATTGTTATTCTTATTATTATTCTTCTTCTCTCTGTGTGCGAAACTATTGGGAAACTTGGTCCTTGCAACACTTTGCGGCGAGTTATTGTCGTCGATATTCGGTTTCTATCTCGTATTTTCGCCAAACATTTTCCGTATGATCTGACTCTGAATTTATTTTAAATATATATATATTTTAGTTTCATTATTTGTACTCGCATCAACCACTTATGTGTGCGTGTGTGTTATTATTAGCACTGACTCGGAAATAAAAGTGAATCTTACAATTTATTATAAAGGTTAGACTGTCTCAGAAAGTGTATTTTAAATTCCTCGCGATGTATTTTTCTTTTTCACGTTTAAATCTCCCAAAATTTCTCCAGTGAGAAACGCGTAACGTTTCCACTTATTCGACCTGCTTGTAAATTCCCCGTCGCCAGTGTCAAAAGTGTATTAATTTTACAGTAGCGGCTCTCCTTCGTCGGCGGAGGTAATCGATGGTGACCGATCGACCTTGCGGACAACTCGTTTCCTCGTAGCTGCTCCATCTTTTCCTTCCTCCCCTTTCCTTCACGCACTTCCCGTAGGAATTCTCGTTCAACACTTGCGCGCACGTGTGTCCATCCGTCCGCGACTCTCGCGAAAAAATTCAACAATCGCAGGAAAATCGGGTTTTTCCTTCGTTCGGCCACTCGATTTGTTCGTACACACGCTGAAGAACGTACAAGGAAGTAACGTGCATCGACGAGCGTGGATTTACCTCGGAGGAAGGCCGGAGAACAAGCGCCTCCGGATCGTTTCAAATTTTCGGGCCTTTCCGCGAATCCGAGCAAACAACCTTGAGCCAAAGGAGGACGAGGTCGCGCTCGTACTCTCAGGCACGCTACTAGACGACCTTGACTTTTTCTTTCTTTCAATTAAATTATTCACGCGTCGCAAAAATCCATTCCTTCTCGTGCCGGCCGAATGGAATCTCCAATGGCTTTTCCAATTATTTTACATTCGTTGGCATCTCTTTCTTTCGCAGAACGTCTATCCCTATATTTTTACAATTTTAAAAACACGACGAAACCTTGCGTGGGTGGAACGTGGAAACGTGTCCGAATATAGAAACAAACGTTTTCGTTCGTTGCACATTCGTTTCTTTTCGACAACTCGCTCGTTAATTGATAGTCTCCCAGTTGAGAGAGCTTACCGAAAGTTCGAAGGATCGAAGGAACACGGCTTGAAAAAGAACGAGCCAAGTCGGCTCGGCAGCTTCCAGCTCACCGACCAGACACGAACTTTCACCATGCCTGAGCGTTGTCTCGCCTTCTCGCACGCGTTTCTCGCGGGACAACGCGCTCGATTCCGCATCTTAGATCTTACTAGTCCGTTGCATGCTAAATCCGATTTACCGATTAATTACAACCGTGGAAGCCAGGTATCGTTGTTGAACTGCAACGATTCGAAAGGACCCATTCGTTTCGTTTTGCCACAATCCCCGTTGCTAAACTTTTTCTTCTCTTTAAATTTTATTCTTCCGATCACTTCGACCGATGGTAGAAAATAATCTCACTTTAGAGATTCCAAACTCTGTGATCTCGCTAAGATTCTAGACGATTCATAATGATTGTCTAGAAACTGTCATAAACTAAAACTAAGACTACTAAACGGGATCTATGATACCCGAAACGAAAATTGAAAATTTTCTTTCAATTTAACGAAAAATTCTCTGTACTCTATCGTAGTCGAAAGATTTACTTTCGATGCAAAGCCATCTATTTTTCCCAATTTTCTGATTTAGGATATCCTGCGTCGTGGCGAACGCGCTGGCGGACAATGGATCCGGAAGTAAAACAGCGTCGGTGGAAGGTAACGTATTGTTCGACGAATCCCTCTTCGAAAGTAGTCACTAGTTGGTTCACTTCTCCCGTCTGTTGGTTGTTCGACAGAATTCGTCACGTCTCACAGAGTACCGGCGAGCATCGCCAGACCGTCGGATTACAACGAAAACGACGAGGACAGTGACGTCGGCGGCGACGACGACGACGACGACGACGACGACGTTGTCGACGTGGAAAGGAAAACGATCGCGAAGAATGGCAAGCACGCGAAGAAGGTTGCGCCAAAGTTGGAGAGCTTCGACAAGAAGCCGGCCAATCTCGAGCCGCCGCGACGTTTCGATTTCGTCGACGAAGACAGAGCGGGCAACGACGCCGCCGTTGCGGCAAAGCGGCAGGTTCGCGTCGAATTGGAAAACTTCGGCGACACCGGGGTGCTTCACGAGGACGGAGTCCGTCGTTCGGACGCGCACAAATCGCGGCTGCAGGGTCAGAGAGACTCCCTCATCCCCGGGGTGCGCGTCAGGTGAGAGAACTAGCAAACTTTTGTCACGAAACTGTTGCACGAGTTTCCGAAGACAGACGGTGTCTTGGCGGAATCTCGAGAGTTACGATTCTTTTCGGACACGAAGAAGAAATATATATATATAGTATATATATTATGCTCTTTACTCTATACTATACATATATGATATATATTGTAATGTACAGAGTTTAATTGTACCAATAACAATGGAAAATTATTTGTATAATAATTCAAATAATTTCCCATTGTTATTGGTACAATTATACTGTGTATATTACATAATATATATGTTATACACGTATGGTATACAGTGAAGAGCATAATTGTACCAATAACAATAAAAAATTGTTTGTATATATATATATAAAATATATTATATATATATATTATAAATAAATATATTGTATAATTAATAATACAACACATAAATTATAACATATAAATATATTATATTATAAATAAATATTATATATATCATAAATAAGTACATTATGTAATTAATGATGTAGCATATAAATATATTATATAAATTAACATATTATATTATAGATAAATATATTAAATATATATATATATATGAGATATATATTTTTCATTATTTCATTCGTTGTTGACCGCAGCGACGAGTACCCGACCACCATGATGCCAGTTTTGACAACGCCACGCGAGACACGCGCCTTCGACTTCGTCCCGGTGAATATCATCCGTGACGACGGCAAGGAAACGTCTTTCCGTGAACGGAACTTTGGCGACTTCAGCGACGTTAGCTTAGTCCCCGCTGGAACGAACTCGCGTATCCAGGTGAGACCCTCAACCATTTGGCTATGAGAGATTCTGACAGATGCCGCGCGTAGCGTATATCTATCTGAGAACGACGAGATTTTTCGTCACCGTGTACACACTCCGAGAGTATATGTTGAAATGAACAAAACACTGAGTCAAAAGCGAATAATCAAAACCCGGGTGACCTCTATCGACACATACCAATCGACAAATCGGTCGATCGAACCGTGTTTAATAACCGATCTGTTCAAACTCTCTGGCTGCCGACAGGTAAAGAAAGGGCCGAACGGCAAGGACTACGAATACGAGTACGTATATTATTACTATGACGAGGAGGATGAGAATAAGGCGGGTACAGCGGACTCGGCCGTCACCAATTCTTACGACGTTCCTTCTAGAACTACGCCCGCGCCTAGGCGCGGCGGATCATCAACCAACAGGAACAAGTACACGAACGTCGAGAGATCCAGCACCGTGGAACCTGCCAGCAACGAAGTTATACCGAATCGTAACGGAAACAGAGGCAGACAGTTGGTCGAGACCGAAGACGTCTCCGAGGAAAGACTGCCGACCAACACCAGATTTCCGCCCAGGTGCGTGTTTCCCTCAATTATTTAACATTTCAAAGCGTTTCAACAATGAAATAAATACACGTAGCTACGAAATTAATTGGTGCGACGACAGGTCACGATCGAGTCACAACACGGGGACCACGGAGCCATCGAGAACTCGCGGAAATCGTCCGAGGCCCAGTCTGGACCTCGTCGACTCGAGCAGCTTTCGAACGCATCAGGAGGGGCCCGAGTTCCCGCAGATTTTACCAAAGGGGCCTGTCAGGTTTCTCGGGGTCACGCCAAACGAGGAGAACGCAGAAGAGAGAGCGGTAACCAGAGGACGAGCGAGACCGCAGAGAGTTCAAGAACCCGCTCCCGTCGAGGAGATGGTCGAAGACGCGCCCGCTCCCACCACCAGGAGGAGGCCGATTAGTGCACTCTCGCCCGAAGTAATTATAATAGCGCTGTTTACTTTCTTTCAAAGTTTCCTTCTTTAACGTCGAGGCACGAGACTCGTGGCAATTTTAGAAATTTCATCGCCATTTCATCCGTACGTGTGTCACAGAGTGTTCTGACAACACCAGACAAGACAGACGAGACTGTAGACAGTTGTCGATACCACGAGACGATCCCCTTTCTATCTGTCGTTTCAGATCGACGTCGAAACGAGGGGATCTTCGCGCGCGAGCGAGGAGAGAGGGGACGAGAAGGAAGAGGCTGCTGCGTCTTCGCCGACGGAGAAAGCCAGAGACAAACAATCGTCCGCGGAGAACGCGAAGCGAGAGTACGAAGACTCGGACTCTCCTTCCACGATCTCGGCAAACACCGAGAATCCAACGACCGAGTATCCATCCTCCATGGACAAAGTGGCGCTCGACTTGTACGCTTTCGTGCAGCAAGGTCAAAATAATCTGGTCGACGCGTCCGGCACCGATTCTTCCTCGTCCGACGTAACCATCACCTCGAACGAGGAGAACACCACCGATTTGGCAGCTGCGACGGAATTGTCCGCGACCACGGTCACCCTCGAACCTATCACCACCACCACCACCACTACCACCGCGGCGTCACCCACGGAATCAACGACTGTCACGGCTGCTGCAATTTCTACCACCGTCGGCACTACTACCACGATCAGTACCACGACCACGACCACGGAATCTCCTACCACTACTCAGGCGGCTGTCGGAAGAGGGAAATTCAGAAGACCGGGCATCGGTGGGATAGCCACAGCTTCTAGAAACAGGTGAGACTTTCAGCAAGAAATTTTCAATCTTCGTTGAAAATCAGATTTTAACACGCAATGTGTCGCAACACGCGCGAACAATATTTAAAATATATTTTTACAAATTATTTATTTTTTTATTATTTTACAATTATTGTAATATATCTTTATTACGGAATTAATTTCTTCACAAGTTCGGGTGTGTAGTGAAAAATTTAGAAACATAGACATTCACTCGAATTGCGTTTCTATACTAATTTTGGCATCATCGCCGATCACCGTTATTCAACCAAGTGTGTTGAAAATCAGTCGAAAGAGACTTTGAGTCACACGACGATTATTTCAATAATGATTTTCTCGGCTCAGATTTAAATCTAACGGAGGCGGAAGCACAAGCACGGAAGCACCGGCGGAGCCGACGCAACGCACTCGGAATCGGTTTGGTGGCAATGGCTCCAATGGCGGTGGTTTCAAAAGAAATCGTCCCGGGCAAAAACAACCGCCCCTTCTCGAAGAGGACGCGGTGCAGAAAGAAAGTGCCAGCTCCGTTCAAGCGGAACGTCCTTCACCGGCTGCCACTACACGCGGCAGATTTCGCGGCTCCGGATCCACCAGGTCCGTCATCTCTTCGACGACAGCGACACCGTCGAACGGCGGATCATCGACCTCGTCTACAAACGGAGTATCGAGGCCGTCCTTCAACAAGCTGAACATCAATCGACGACGCGGCAGACCGACGACAACCGCTCCGAACAGTAGCGAGGAGAGCCAGGAGTCGACTCGCGCGGAAACCTTGAAGGAGACCGCGCAAGAATCGCTCGCCGCGACGCCAAAGTCGACTTCGGCGGTTCGCGCGCGACTTCCGACGACCGGAGTCAGACCGGTGATTAAACCCGGGGCGAGAATAAACCTGAGACCTAAACAATCGGGACAATCGACCACGACCGCCGCCCCACTCTCCGCGGACAAAGAGGAGGAATCGTCCGTCGACGAGCCAGCTGGCGAAGGAACCGAGGAGGAGACTCACGAGGTGAGTAACTCATACGTCGTGTTTTCATTCGTTTCGTCAAAAGGAGATAGGAGAGAGAAATTTCAATTTTTGCGAGTGCCATCGCGAAACGATCGTAGACGCCAGTTTCTACTGGTAAATACCTCGGTCATACTTCTTCTCTCTTTCTTTCTTTTTCTCTCTTCTTCTCTCGTTTTTCGCTTTCACTAAATGCCCTTTTGCAAATGTCACATACCGGGCGTGCTTTGACACTCACTCGCCAGTTTGTTTCTCGCCAGTTAAGTTGACGCTGAATCTTCGCCTTCGATTATTACTGCTACCGCTAATAATAAGTTTTCAGCTTCGCTTCGCTTTCTTTTCTTTTTTTTTTTTTTTTT